TCTGTCTCTATATCTTTCTCTCTCTCGCTCTGTCTGTCTCTCTTCCGCTCTATCTGTCTCTCTCTATCTTTCCATCAGTCTCTCTCTCCATGTCTGTCACTCACTCTCTATCACTCTTTTACCTTCTCTCTCTTTCACTTTTTCTTTCTCTATCTCTCTCTTTTTTGCTTCATCTGCCTCTCTCTCTCTATCTCAGTGAGGTGAGAATGTTACGTGTGTGTGTGTGTGTGTGTGTGTGTGTGTGTGTGTGAATGCTCTGTCTGTTCAGTCTGCTTCTTCTGAGAAAAACACTTGTAAAGAGCACCTATGGCCAACACACACACACACACACACACACACACACACACACACGCACACACACAGCTATAGATTTACACACAGAATCTATAGCTCAAAGAGTGTGTGGTCACTGTGGTCAGAGTTCGGGTTTTGTCTGGCTGAGAAATGAGGAGGCACCCAATTTAGGAGCAAATCCAGCAAACAGAAAGAAAGAGAGAGAGAGGGATAGAGAGAGAGAGAGAGAGAGAGAGAGAGAGAGATGGAGTGAGAGAAAGAGAGAGAGAGGGATAGAGAGAGAGAGAGAGAGAGAGAGAGAGAGAGAGTGAGAGAGGGGGGGAGTGAGTGAGAGAGAAAGAGCGAGAGAGAGAGGGGGGAGTGAGTGAGAGAGTGAGAGAGTGAGAGAGAGAGAGAGATATTAGATCTTAGCAATAACTGATAATGATATACAAATAAAACACTGTTTTCAGTATCAATAACGTGTTTTCCATAATATTCTTATGCTGTTTAATCAGCATTAAAGGCCTGAACTTTGAACATTTGCTGGTGTTCTCCTGTTAAAGTTCTACACGCGCATAAAATTGAAGTCTGACCCTGACCCTGACCCTGACCCTGACCCTGAGACCCAACCCACCCCGACTGGTGCTACTCACTTTGAAACCCCCGCCCCCCCCGTTCTACACGGTTCTGCACTGTTACTGAGAGCTTGAGCTGATCCACAGAAACATCACGCTGGGATAAACTGGTATTTCAGTGAGTGCACTACATATCAAGCATTTAGCTGGCTAGCAGAGCTAATGTTACTCATGATTTTTGTAGAACTTTGGGTTCAAAGTTCAGGTCAGATTCAGTAACATTCATGACAAAATGAAGAACACAAAGAGCGATAAAATAAATAAATAAATCCCCAATAATTATCATAATGATCTAACATGAAGTTACTATTAGATGTTACTGATAACTTCTGCAAAATGTTGTGGAGGAAACGAAGTCGGATCTCAGAATTACATCAGTTTTGACCTTAAAGCTGCACTATGTAAGGTTTGGGGATTTGGGAGCCCTCTCTGGTGGAAATGTGTAACTGCATGTGATGTGCAAAGAACCATTTTATATCATCAGTTGTGCTTCAGACCCTTTACCAGAGCAGATGAATCTGACCTTCGCGAGTGCATTGAAAGAGAATTCAGGGAGAGCGCAGTCTAAACTTGGTGAAGGGCGTGTCTTCCAAGGATGTGAGTGAATCAGCTACTGTCATCATATCTTCATCAGTATAATGTTGATTTTGAGATCATTTGAGACCTAAACATTGAGCTGGACCTTCTTTTTGAGGCTGTGCATGTGATGTTAATATGTAAAGACGTGTGACGTGGTTGGAAAAGCTCCTGCGAAATCTGTTCTGACACCTCTGACTTTTAAATGATTATTTCAGCCTTTACAGATCGACTCACAGCAGCACAGCGACACTGCTTTTTAATGTGTTTTTCCTCCTGACTCAGTAATGCTACTTCGTCCAGTTTTAACCAAAAAGAAAAACGTCATAGTGCTGCTTTAAAGTGGGAGAATCCTGCTTGAAAAACCATCTTAGAGCAGCACAGCTGGCCACCAGCAGAACCAAAATATGTTCTGTCTAAGGTCAAATCATGTTTTCTTTGCTTTTCAAATGGAAAACAGGCAAAAAAACAAAAACAAAAAATAATAAAAAAAAACAGATTGTCCTACTTTGGTGATGGCACTGAAAAATCCAGCCTTGTCACACTGAAGTGAGGGGAATAGTGAGGAGGAGAAATACTGCATGAAGAACTGACCGCCATGCTCCTCGTTATCAATGTCAGCAGGAAATAACATGATGGTTCTGTGAAAAATGCAAAGAAATAACTAATTAAAAACACCTACTTGACGTGGGCACGTTACACCTAATGTTAAATAAAAGAAATCTTTACCAGTTTTTGGACTTCTGTGCTTCATTAAAGTCTTGGCTAATTTTGAAGGATGAGATTTGAATAATATAGTCAAGCTGGAAAAACACTTCCTGCCATCATTCAAATAAACGGCTCCACTCAAATGGTCAATTAATGGCATAAAAAACTTCTGTAAATGAACAGCTGTGAATGTTGTTTGTTTGTTTGTAAACAGGGTTGTTTTTTGGTTGTTTAATGAATTGTTGGTGATTTTGCACCCCAAACCAGCAGCTTAAACAGCGTTGATTTTACCAACGGATGTGTGTTTTATCTGACATTAATAGTGTCTCCACCATACCTCCTCCATATATATATATATATATATGTATATAGGGAGAGAGGGAGAGAGAGAGAGTAGGGAGGGAGGGATAGAGAGAGAGAGAGTGTAGGGAGAGGGAGAGAGACAGAGGGAGGGAGAGATGGGGGTCTGAGGGGTCAGTGAGGGTCTGGATACTGTGTTCTGACACTCAGCACTTTCACTTCTGTAACTGCAATATTGTAATATTCTACAGCAAATCAGTGTGTTTATACAAAAACACTCACACAAAGCTATGCAGCTGCTGGCGACCTGCCTCAACCGCACACACACACACACACACACACAGAGAGAGAGAGAGAGGCATGTTATATGCAACATGCATATATATCAAATAGATTTAGTTTTATTTTTTAGATTACTAAGAGATAATTGATAATTTATTTAACTTTTATTATACAGACAATAATACTTTGACTATACAAATGTAATTTTGTCATGTTAATAAAGCAAAATTGAGACAAAGACAGACAGAAAGAGACTCAGTGAGTCACACAGAGAGAGAGAAAGAGAGACAGAGAGAGAGAGAGAGAGAGAGAGAGAGAGAGAAAGAGTGAGAGAAACAGAGAGAGAGAGAAACAGAGAGAGAGAGAGAGAGAGAGAGAGAGACAGAAACAAAGAAAAAGAGAGAGAGGAAGAGAGAGAGGGAGAGAGAGAGAGAGAGAAATAGAGACAGACAGAGACAGAGAGAGAGAGAGAGAGAAACAGAGAAAAAGAGAGAGAGAGGAAGACAGAGAGGGGGAGACAGAAACAGAGAAAAGAGAGAGAGAGAGAGAGAGAAAGCGTGAGAGAGAAACAGAGAAAGAGAAAGAGAGAGAGAGAGAGAGAGAGAGAGAGAGAGAGAGAGAGAGAAACAGAGAAAAAGAGAGAGAGAGGAAGACAGAGAGGGGGAGAGAGAGAGGGGGAGACAGAAACAGAGAAAAGAGAGAGAGAGAGAGAGAGAGAGAGAGAGAGAGAGAGAGAGAGAGAGAGAGAGAGAAAGTTTCACTTCCTCACTTTGCTAACTCTACCGCCTTTTTAGTCTGATTCCATTTTTTCTTTAACCAGTTCCAGGTCTCTCGCCCATCTCTACTCTCTTTCTCTCTGTTTCTGTTGCTTGGCGGTCTCAGTGCCACCCACTGCTGACCACCCTCACTCCACCCAGGCTTCAAATACAGCAGCAAACAAACAGTCCTTACACACACACACACACACACACACACACACACACACGTGTGCTTCTTCAGAGGGATTAACTGACCTGTTTTTCAGACTGAATGTGCGTCACTCATCCAGCACACTGATAACCTGGTCAGTTATACTGAGGTTTACAGAGTAAATACTGTGTTATTACATTATCATGTGACTGAGTCATTCGTCAGCTCATCAATCGAGTGAAATAACACATCCATTCATGAAATCTCAGATCCACAGTGCCTGAGAAGTGACCCACAACAAACACCGTCAACTCAAAAGAACAATCTGCCTAAAAACTACTGCTCAACAACAAACAACTTCCAAAGTTTCGGGCCTCATGTTGGCAAAATACAATTCCATCTACATGTTTTACAGACTAAAACCTTCAGTTTCATCTTAAGGGCCTGTGGCCACTTGCATAAAACATCTTAGATGAATTATAGTCTGAACCTTTTCTCTTTAGTTCAAACAGGAATTACACCAACTTTTCAAAATTTCTGCATAATTAATTGGTTACGATGTGAACAAAGTCATTCAGAGTAGTTTGGTGTGAAATGCTCCATTCTACAGAAACTTACAGAGTGAGGATTGTTGGTGATGATAGGAACCAGATGTCCACCTCTAAAAGCTCCCTCACACAAAGTTATTACATTAAATGTTTATTAGTACACTGGCTGATGTCTGAGACACTGTTTTATGACAGTTTTGAGAAGATTTTGGCCTAAAAAATATATATTTTAAATCCATTCATGGCAGAGGGGTACATGCAGGGTGCTGTGAGGCAAAATAGTCCCACAAGAAAACTTATTTTTTCAGATTTAATGCTGTTTTATCATCAACAACATTACATATCACTGCTCTGGGAACAAAACCTCATATCTCTTAAATCATAATTTTACAGGAGAAGAAAAAACCTACTTTACTTTCATTGTAAGTCAACGGAACCAGACTTTTTCCAAGTCATTTTGGGCCGTTTCTTCTGGGGGTTTAAAAGCCCCAGCTGCTCATCCAAAACACACTTTCTCGAATTTTCAGGCCTTGTATTGGCGAAGAATTGCGCTTTTTTACAGACTCCAAAATGTTTCATTTCTCATTTTATTGTTTATTCATATTTTTAAATACTGGTAACCCAATCCTGCAATAAAAACACAAATCTAGCATCATCAGCCAGGGCAATAAAGCAGCCATGAACTGAAGTGAGCCGGATTGTTGGAGATGCGCCACCTGGCGGCTGCAGTTGGAAGTGCGCCGCTCATCAGCCGATTGAATGAGCTCCAGGGTTAAAGCAGTGGGCTGGCAGGGGCATTAGGGGAAGCTCTCACTGCTCCCCTCGCTCACTTCACTGAGGACACACTCGGTGTGCTCTCTCTCTCTCTCTCTCACTGAGGACACACTCGGTGTGCTCTCTCTCTCTCTCTCTCTCTCTCTCTCACTCACTCACTCACACACAGAGAGACACTCGCTGGACTTTTTCCACAGCAGAGCAGCAGCGGCAGCGCACTGGACTGGAGACCAAGCGGAGGCTGTCTAACTGTGGGATACTGAGACTTCACCAAAGTGACTTTTTCTCGTATTTTCTCCTCTTTTCGGTGGATTTATTCGCCTTTTTTGTGCTCTGGATTTCTCTGTTAGCCTCACAGCACGTTAACGCAGTGCTGAGGAGAGGAGCTCGCGGCATTCAGCAGCTTTCAGCCGGTCGGAGCTTCAAGGCTGAAGGTAACAAACTCTGAAGAGCCACTTTTCTGTTTTCTGTGTGGATTTTAAGTCCTGCTTTCACGTATTTGTCTCGAATACAACGTGTTTAAGCTGCAAAGCTGAGGTGGGTAGAAAAGAGCTCTGTTTACAAGCGTCATGGTACAATTCTGATGGTTTTGTGCTTTATAATGATAACTTGCCTCCTGCTACAGGTGGGCGATATGGCAGAATGTAATATCGCGATACTGTTGACGATACGCGATACGTCACGATATTTTTTCTTATATCTGGTAAGTTATAACAGGCAAACTAATGGCAAAATACTATCAAAAACTATGAATCCAATTACTATTCAACATTTCACACACTGTGCTTCACTAAATCCTAATAAACAGGACTAATTATGCTCTATTTAGTCAAACATGCAGTTGGTAAATGATTTTTAAGTACTGATGATATCCACACTGTGCTCAGGAAAGCTTATTGTAAGGTAATTTATCACAATAATGATGAATATTGTCATATTGCCCAGCTCTCTCTCTCGAATATACTCTAGTATTTTTACTCTGTTTAGTTTTTGTTCACATTTAGCTCCCAATTCCCTTTTAGGGTTTCATTTTATTCTGCTGTGTTGGTTCAGGTCCTGAAGGGTGTTTTATTTTAGACTTACATTACACTAATTAAGATGATCCAAATGAGAAAAATAGAGCCTAACAAAATTAATTTCCTATACCAGGGTCAGCAACATGCAGCTACAGAGTGTTATAGGGCTCCTTTACTGCCCTGTTGTGGCTCCACAGCAGAATTAGATTTGTAGGTAAAAATAAAATAATCCTCCTTTACAGTAAAATAAAGCTCTGCTGATCGTTCAACACAGTTTAACAATAAATGGTCTTAAACACTGGAGTTAATGTAGAACTGCTAATTCACCCTTTAACCCTGAAGGTTGGCTCTCAGACTGCTGGTCACCACAGAAATGCAGACAACAACCTCACATAGCCAGTAGCTAACGAAACAGCAAAGAACAAGATTTAAGACAAACATCAATCATTTGTGACGAATTGACTGATTTGCATTCATAATCACTCCAGCTGGTTTCCTGATACATTTAATCTGCAACAAGCAACTGTCAAACACTAAAAAGTTGTGAGGCTGAAGTCAGCTTCTCATTCTAATTCTACCGTTCCACCTTAAAAGGTGCAGCATGTACATTCTGGCACCTCAGGCACCATTTAAGGTGGAATGGGAAAAGTTGAACTAGAAGCTGGCGAATGAGAAGCGACTTCAGCCTCTGAAAAAGTCGAGCACTGAGAGACATTTTACAAGAAACTATGCCACTTTTGTGGAAAAGTTTCCTGCTGGAGATGCGAGAAAAGTGACTATAGCTCAGCTAAAGCTTAAAGCACAGCAAAGCGAGTCTGTGTTTTGTTTTAGATATTATTAGTCTACACTGGGACATTAGCATATATTAAGACATATTTTTAGCCAAGATGATAAACAGTACTTCAGTAAAATGGACATTAAATGTTGTGGCTCCCAAGACGGATTGATTTTTGTTGAAAGGACAAAATGGCTCTTCTTAACATTTGGGTTGCCGACTCCTGTTCTATACTAATAGATGCCGGATGCTGGTACCAGGAAGCTCCACTGAACGTCTAATAGAGCTGGGCAATCGGACAATATTTATCATTATTGTGATAAATTACATCACAGTAAGTCACAATAAGCTTTCCTGAGCACCTCATGGATATCGTCAGTACTTAAAAACCACTTTCCAACTGCATGTTTGATTAAAAAGAGCATCATTAGTCCTGTTTGATTGGATTTAGTGCAACACTGTGTGAAATGTTTAACTGTAGTTTGATTCATAGTTTTGGAGGCATCTTTTAAAATGTGGCTTACTTTGTCTACTTATCAGATGTCAGAAAAAATAAATATCATAACATATTGTGTATTGTAAAATCTTTCTGAAGTATCGTGATATTACATTTTGCCATATCGCCCACCTCTTCTTCTGCTAATGAATTCAGAACTTGAGTTTGGACCTGAGCTGCTGTTGTTCGCTACTTTTGGATCGTTATTTAATTGCGATATCTCTGGTTTGGTTTTAGGCTGCTCTGCCCACCCCTGCTCAGCATGCATGAGTTTTAAAATGAAAGCAGCCTGTCACAGTTCTCATTTCTTACGATCTCGTTCCAGAGCAGCGCGTGAAATCGGATTTTCTGTGAGCAGGTGTGACCGAAGTCCTCCTCGAACGACTGAGCTCTCCTGTGGAACAAACGGCTCGGCTGGATTTTTGTTTCTTTTCTTCAGCTTTGAGCTCTTCCAGAAATGGTGGGGCATTTACACTTGCAAGCTATGGATGAGAGTTTGAAAGGAAAGAACCGCGAAGGGCTGCTGGACAGCCCGGATTCAGGGCTGCCCCCGAGCCCGAGCCCACCCTTCTACTCCCTGTCCCCGGGGGTGGTGGAGCAGCGGGCCAGCAGCTGCTCCACTCCGACCGAACCGTATGCACACTGCAGGAAGGAGAGCAGAGAAGGAAAACTGGTGAGATTTTCTCAATCACAGTTGTTTTACATTGAGTCATCATCATTCACTGCTTTACTGGGCAGGTTTAACTCTGAACACTGTCAGTTTACTCAAATCAGTTCAGTTCAACTCATATTTATTGCCATTTTGCATATATACAGACATGCATTCAGGCTGTTCTCTGGAATGCCAGTATGCAGAATCACAGTTATTGAAGTCTGTAGCATAAAAGCACTGAGGTTTATTATTCCGAAAGTTAGTTTTATAGCACTTGCATAACAGTATATAAGAGTTACTGAACAGCGAGTCTTAAGTATCCGCTAACTGGATAATAAGCCTGCAGGTTAAGTGGTTAAAAAAGTATGTGCCCCGTCTTCTGGCATTGACTTGGCTTTTGGGAACTTAATATATTTCTGAAACCTTTTTAATATATCCCTCAGTGCTGTATACAGAGATCAGTGTGTAGATTAGTGTTTGGGTTTCCTCTACAGAGATCAGTATGTAGATTATTGTTTGGTTCAATTAGCAGACATCAGTATGTAGCTTAGTCTTTGGGTTCTAGTATAGAAATCAGTATGTAGATTAGTCTTTGGGTTCTAGTATGGAAATCAGTATGTAGATTAGTCTTTGGGTTCTAGTATGGAAATCAGTATGTAGATTAGTCTTTGGGTTCTGTTTGCAGAAATCAGTATATAGATTAGTCTTTGGGTTCCATATGCAGTGGGACACTGGCATACATAAGACTGTTTGCAGAAATCAATATATAGATCAGTGTTTCAGAAATCAGTATGTAGATTAGTGTTTGGTTCTATTAGCAAACATTGGTGTAGAGATTAGTGTTCTATTACAAAAATCAGTATGTGCATTACTGTTTGGGTTCTATTATAGAAATCAGTATGTAGATTAGTGTTGGGTTCTATTATAGAAATCAGTATGTAGATTAGTGTTGGGTTCTATTATAGACATCAGTATGTAGATTAGTGTTAGGTTCTATTACAGACATCAGTATGTAGATTGGTGTTTGGGTTCTGTATACAGTGGCATACATAAGACTTTAATGTTAATAAGGCTGTTTTCCTGGAACAGGTTTTACTCTAAACCCAATTAGTTTGATGGTGAAGATCAGAGTGATAATGAATCTGAAGGGCAAAGTCAGAATCTGCCTCTTTTTCACCAGCGTATAAATTGGCTTGAGTTCTGGGGGTTCAGTATATCGTTATAAATGCTGTATTATTATTATTATCATTATTTTTATTATATGTTGCTACAAATGTTTTAATACTGATTGAAATAGTGGGCAGGCTCTGTATTGCCAAGTCGTAGCCTACATTTCAGAGATCAGTATGTAGATCAGTGACTGGGGTCCGTATACAGGGGGCCTCTGATGAACGTAATTAAGTTCTACTCTAAGCTCAGTCTGGTGGTGAAGATCAGAGCCACTGTAGTGAAGAAGGGGGAACAGGCTGAAGAGAACGGAAAAGTTATGCCTCTTTTTCCACCACTGCCTTTGCTTTTTGACGATCCAGTTTATTTCTGCAACTGTTCTGAATTTTAAACATTAAAAACCTCTTAAACTCTCAGGGAAGTGTTTGTTCCTCATGTTCATAACTACAGAACTTGTATTAATTTAATAGTTTAATAGTAGTTATTAAATAATCCATAGTCGTTACTGAATAAGAGCTTTTGAGAACTGAATAGTAACGGAATGGCTGTTGGTTGTTTTTAGTGTTGGGCTCTGTATGCAGCGGCTCACTGACGAACATAAGGCTGTAATTCCAAAACCTGCTGTACTGCAGCTTTTACCACATACAGACAAACAAAGAGCTGAGCTGGTGGATTAAGCTTCTGTGAAAGCCTGGAATACTTTTGACATTTGTCATCCAAAAGATCTATGGGCAGATAAGCAGCATCTAGAACATTCCCTGCTGCCTTAAAGTGCTTATTGTGTATTGTATTCATTCAGTGGAGCTACTAGTCATATAAGTGACAACTGCTACTAAAAAATCAACAAAACATGTAATCCGAGCAGAGCTGTATATACCCAGGAATCAAATGACATGTTTTCATGATTTTATAAGTTGGAAATGCAAATTGTAATGCACAGTTTCTATATGTTTGGTGAGGGTGGGATGAGACCCGACTGCTCGCAGTAGATTTGGTCGTCTTTGCACGGCATTTTCCAAATATGTGTCGGGGTCAGATTTCATTTACGGGCTCGACAGATTTTACCCTGTATTGAAACCCATTTACATTTAAATGTTCCTCTCTCGTTTCATTATCTTACAACAGCTTTAATCTGGCTCCACTCATGAATGTAGCACGAGGTCCAGGGAAGCCAAACTCATGTATGCGCTGGAAATACAGCAGCGCAGCAAGGAAGATTTATCCAGACTAAAATGTTTGGGATGTTGTTCCAAAGCACTGCATTGCTTTGGTCATTGATGAACACATTTGTTAAAGTGGAATTTTACATTAATTTTGAGCCACTGATTTTTATTATATCATTGTTTTGTATATTGCTGTTGTCGGAACAAAACCCTTTATCTCCAAAATGGTAACTTTACAGAAGGAAAAAAACATAGTTTACTTTTAATGTAAGTCAATGGAACCAGACCATTTCTTGTGATCCATTCATCATGATATTTACAATGTAAATGGTAACAGGCATTTATATATATATATATATATATATATATATATATATATATTAATGACACATAATATCATGATATTCATTTTTTCTGACGTAAACTAGAAAAGAAAGATAAGCTATACTGCTGCGCTGCATTAAAACCAATGAAATACTATAACTAATAATAACTAATTATGCCCTCTGGAAAAAAAAACAAACAAAAAAAATACTGTGACATAATTTATGATAATGACAGTTATTGGCGTATTACCCAGCCTTACTTTATGTATGTTCTAAATTTTGTCTCAGATCATGTTCAGATTAAAGCTCTGACATAATAATCAGATTAGTTTATTAATTAGAACGGTATGATATTGGGTTTTATACTGCTGTGTATCATTAGAACTGGTAGCCGTCCCGTCCCTAGAGAGGAAAACCATATTAATCAGAAAGAGCCATGAGAGAGAGAGAGAGAGAGAAAGACAGAGAGAGACAGACAGACACTGAAAGACAGTGAGAGATATTGTGAGAGCTATAGAGAGAGAGATAAAGATATTGTGAGAGAGAGAGACAGAGAGAGACAGAGAGAGAGAGAGAGAGAGAGAGAGAGAGAGAGAACAAGTAGTGTAAACAAGTTGACCTTGTCTTTAGTTAGCTTGTGAACTGTAACTGATCTGTCTCTGTTCCACAAATCAGCCTTTTACACACACACACACACACACACACACACACACACACACACAGTTACACAAACAAAAACACACTACATCGGTATTCATTTAACTGTATTGGTAGTGATTTTTAGCTTTAGCAGTATTAGATAAGAAACAATCAGTTCACTAAAAGCTCCAGTAGATGATTTACTGGGTGCTTCATAATGTTTTGAAAGAACACAGAAGTAAACTTTCCTTTCTGTAAATGTGCTTTCAGTCTGATTACAGTTCACGGTACTGTATCAAGTTCCTTTGAACTAAATTTAAGAGAAACATAACAAAACTAGGATGTGCATTTGGGTTAATTTTGATATTTGAATAGCTGTATAAGCTCATAAACTGATGTCTGGCTAACTGCAGGGAAGGAAACAATGGGGGAAAGTAATAGTAATGAAAGTCTGAGGGAGAATAGCCAGGTTTCTGTGTTGTCCGAGTAGCACAGGCTGCCTCTGCAGATGAGCTAACAGAGCTAGCCAGCTCTCAGAAAGAAGAGTCTCATTAACTTTATTAATCCTAAGTCAAACATCATCCGATACTGTGATACATGTGGAACATATCACGATGCTGACTCTTATCAGTATCGCCGAGCCCTGCTGCCACACTGCCCTTCACCGCAGCATTGCCCGACTGCACACTCATGTTACAGCCTGTGAGGACAAACGCTGCACTGCTAGCTCTTATTTCTGCCTCTGAAAGGTTACACAGTCCTGAGCTAACAGCAGGCTGCCTCAGACGGCCTTCATCATCAGAACAAACCACACAGCCGATCCCACATCAGCGTCAAAGACGCCTCCAGATAAGCTCCAGTTCTAAACAGGCAGTTCATCGAATCAATCAGTGTCCAGCAGGACATAGAACTCACGGTCAAAGTCTTAAACTAGGCTTATTATTCAGTTACTAAGTGATGAAAAATCATCACTTTACCACAAATGTAGACAGTCAAGATGTTCTAGGCTACAAACAAGCAATAGAAGCTTATAACCAAACAATTCGCATCACGCATGCGTAATTGATCACATACCTGCCTCAAACCTTCAGCTGTTAAGTAATCTCAGATAGTCTTGCGTATGTTGTTCCTGACACTGTATGACACACTGTTAGCGAAATGGCTGGTATCATGATTGAAAACAGAAAAATGCAGGACGGTACTTTATACGATGCTAATTAGTTTACATGAGCTTCTCCAGAGACGTTATAAATGATGGGACTGGTTAAAATATAAATGGGAAAGCTTGTAACACTCAACATGGCGTCTGTTTACAGAGAAAGTCCTGTATTTCAAGGAAAAGAGCCAGTCGGCTTACTGGTTACGCCACAAGCAGAGAAGCGTTGGCGATATTGTGGAGTTAGCAGGAAAAGCCCCCACTCATCGTGGAGAGCAACCAGAACAGGCCAAGATATCATGTTTTTTTGTGTTATTGAGCCAAACGCTACAAACTACTTGTGAGGTTTTTGTCAGATTTTACAGGTGATTTCAAATGGTTTTTAAACGCTTCTTCAGTTGGAGTATTTAGGTCTCTCCCCATTCAAAGAGGCAGGAGTCTGGTCTTGTATGGCTGGAAATAACTGCCCAAAGATGGCTGCCAAGTGAACAGACTTTGCTATGCAGACTTTGGTTTCTCTCGCTTGTTAGTTATATTAGTCTAAACTACAGTACAAAACTAAGCAAACTC